CATTGAACATGTTGAAACTTTAGCCTAGTTTACATGTATTAGTTTGTGATTAGGTCAGTTTATAGGGAACCACTAGTGGTAGGTCAATGATATATGGTATGCAGTTCTGAAAGCATTGGCACATCTCATTCCCATTGTAATTATTTGGCCCCGCTCCCTCAGTCATGGTCTATTGACTTTGAAACTTTTAGCCTAGTTTACATGTATTAGTTTGTGATAGGTCAATTTATATGACGTTGGCGTCGTCGTCGTCCGAAGACACATTGGTTTTTGCACTCTAACTTTAGTTTAAGTGAATGGATCTCTATGAAATTTTACCATAAAGTTCAATACCACAAAAGGAAGGTTGGTTTTGATTTTGGGGGTTATGGTACCAACAGTTAAGGAATTAGGGGCCAAAAATAAGCATTTTTGTAACTTCCAGACATAACTTGTGTGTTAGTGTATGGATCTCTCTGACATTGTACCACAAGGTTCCATATCACAAAGGGAATGCTGGGATTGATTTTGGGGGTAATTGCCTCAAAATTTTAGGAATTAGGGGCCAAAAAAGGGGCAAAAAACAAGCATTTTTCTAGTTTCATGACAATAACTTGTGTGTAAGTGTATGGATCTTTCTGAAATTGTACTACAAGGTTCCATATCACAAAGGGAAAGCTGGAATTGAGTTTGGGGGTAATTGCCCGAAACGTTTAGGAATAAGGGGCCAAAAAGGGGCCAAAAATAAGTATTTTTCTAGTTTCCAGAGAATAACTTGTGTTCAAGTGTATGGATCTCTCTGAAATTGTTCTGCAAGGTACCATACCACAAAGGGAAGGCTGGGATTGAGTTTGAGGGTGATGAATCATAAGAGGGTTCAAAAAATTTTTGGGGGGGATTTTTTTTCCCCTTTTTTTTTCTTTAAAATTTTCCATTTTAAATTGGTTATTTCTGATTTATATATAAAAGCAAATAATAATGATATGGTTTGAATAGGTAAATCAAAAATTTTTAAGTTCTTAGACCACATTCATTCTGTGTCAGAAACCTTAGAAGCTGTGTCAAATATTTAATCACAATCCAAATTCAGTGCTGTATCAAGCTTGAAGGTTGTGTCCATACTTGCCCCAACTGTTCAGGGTTCGACCTCTGCGGTTGTATCAAGCTGCACCCAGCGGAGCATTTTATTACAACATATTTCTTATTATCTCGAAAATTATAATAGATAGACAGAAGCATCAAGAAGCAAAAATGATCAGCAAGACAAGATCTACAAGTTAGTCAGCATAACCAAAATTTTCAGATGACTCCTTATTAGAGTTATTACCCTTTAATGACTATTTTTACCATTAGTTTGCTAACTGACCAATATCTTAAAAACTATATAGATAGATAGAATCTTTAAAAAGCAAAAATGATCAGCACAACAGGATCTACAAATTCTTAATAAAAAAGGATAGATCTACAAATAAGTCAGGACTTCTAAGTTAAAATGTTCTGTCAACTACTTATTAGAGTTATTGCCCTTTAAAGATGATTTTTACCATTTTTTTCATTTTTGCCTATTAATATCTTAAAAACTATAATAGATAGATAGAAACTTTAAAAAGCAAAAATAATCAGCAAGACAATGAATCTTCAAATAAGTCAACAAAACTGAATCATTAGATGACTCCTTATTGAAGTAATTGCTCTTTAATGACGATTGTCCCCTTTTTTGCCTATTGTCTTGAAAACTGTAAAAGATGTATAGAAACTTAAAATAGCACACATGATCAGCAAGATAAGATCTCCAAATAAGCTATAATGGCCGAACTCTTCAGTGGAATCTTTATTTAAGTTATTGCCCTTAAATGATAGTGTTTAACATTTTTATACATTTTTATGCCTATTTTCTTGAAAACTGTAATTAGAGAAATAGAACTTTTAAACATGTTAAAAACGAAAAACTATCAGCCAGATAAAATCTACTTTGCTTTTTGTGTGTTTTTTACTGAGCACTGAACTGATTTTGAGTCATGGATGGATACCCCATATCCTTTGTTTTTTTTATACGTCAAAATTTTAAATCGCGGATAGCGAGATTTTCCAGGCGACGACTGTGATGATGACTTCATAGTTAGCATCAACAATTGCTATGTTTTCCTGCTTAAGTTAGTTTGACAGGAACGTTTTGTGATAGATCATTGACATTAAATAAAAAGTTGCATTACTGTCAGTACAAATCAGTTTGATGACTATTTTGAAGCCCTGCTTCATAGGGGATGGTCAAGTGACTTTGAATTATTAGCAATTTTCAATGTTAAGTTTTCTGCTTAAGTTAGTTTGATAGGAATTGATATCAATTATTAAAGAGCTTTCTCAACATTCAGCTGTATTTTATTTAGGGAAAGGTTTCTGTGGGTAAAAGATATAAAACAGCCGCTTCAGTATCAATACCAGATTAAGCACAGGGGCCCAGGAAAATTGTTTTATTCTCCAAGTATTTTTATTAAACATTGTTATATAGAGAGCATAACAGCTATCTCTGGTGGGGGTTTTAGGCGAAATACAAAATATACCATGTATACAGATAGTTGACAATAATGAAACCAAAACAATGAAAATGTAAAAAAAAAAAGGAATAAGAGATTTATCAAATCCTGGAAACACACTTTTAATAATGGTATTGGAGAAGTTGTAGATAGGATAATATGTATATGAATCAGGTGAATATTGTGCAGGACAGACAAATAAGTCCTCAAAAATTAGACAACAACAAAAATAAACACAGAAAACTACAAAATTATGAGTATACATATTTTGCTTTGAGTTTGTTCTAAGGTCACCGGTGAACTGTTGTGGTTCAAGTGTCTTAGTTGATACAGCACTTTTGGAAATCAACTGCATTTCATTCCTTTTTAGTTGCATTTACCAGATTTTATGTTCATAAATGGCAGTTTAAAATTTCTTACAGCAACTACAAAATTTGGCCAAGTTGTTATCCCTTTCGGACTAGTAATATGATTCATGGTTACTTGAAGTTGTTAAAAAAAGTTAATGTTGAACCCTGATCCAATAAAAGAAATTAATAATGTTCAGTTTTTATGCCCCCGCAGTAGCGGAGGGGGCATTAAGTTTTACCCTTGTCCGTCTGTACGTACGTTTTCTAACTTGAGTTTGCCTCAACCAAATGTTATGAAACTTATACTTAATGCTTATTACCACAAAACACAGATCAAGTTTGAATTTTGGTGGCGTCACTTTAACCGTTCTAGAGTTATGCCCCTTTATAAATGGAAAAATTGCAAAATTTTAGTTTCTTCTCTAACTTATGTGAGTGCCTCAACCAAATGTTATGAAACTTATACACAATGCTTATTACCACAAAATAAAGATCAAGTTTGAATTTTGGTGGCGTCACTTTAACCGTTCTAGAGTTATGCCCCTTTATAAATGGAAAAATTGCAAAATTTTTAGTTTCTTCTCTAACTTATGTGAGTGCCTCAACCAAATGTTATGAAACTTATACACAATGCTTATTACCACAAAATAGAGATCAAGTTTGAATTTTGGTGGGGTCTCTTTAACTAATCTCGAGTTATGCCCCTATATAAATGGAAAAAAATGCAAAAATTTTAGTTTCTGTTCTCTATTAAACTTAAGTTGCCTCAACCAAATGTTATGAAACTTATACACAATGCTTTTTACCACAAAACACAGATCAAGTTGAATTTTGGTGGCGTCACTTTAATCATTATCGAGTTATTCCCCTTTATAAATTGAAAAATTGCAAAATTTTTAGTTTCTGTTCTGTAACTTAAGTTTGCCTTAACCAAACATTATGAAACCTATACAAATTACTTATTACCACAAAACTCAGATCAAGTACAAATTTGGGTAGCGTCACTTTTATTGTTCTTGAGTTATGTCCCTTTATAATGTTGTATGCAAGCGGGGGCATCATCTGTGTCCATGGGGACACATTCTCCATTTATCTTCTCTATTATTTGTTCATAAAAAAGATTTAATTTGGTGCATATGTATTTTATGTTATTATGAACATATTAAAACATGAAAGATGATAAGTCAAAAATCCCCAGTCTCTCTTTAATAAAAAATACAAGTAACTAATGAAAAGAGATAAAATATGTGGGACTGTATGTAGGGGACATAATGGAATGCTGTTCTTTTCTTTCATTTTTTATGCCCCCGCTGTAGCGGAGGGGGCATTAAGTTTTACCCTTGTCCGTCTGTACGTCCATTCGTACGTCCTTCCGTACATCTCAAAATTGGTTTCCATTCTCTAACTTGAGTTTGCCTCAACCAAATGTTATGAAACTTATACACAATGCTCACTACCACAAAACACATATCAAGTATGAATTTTGGTGGTGTTACTTTTACCGTTCTAGAGTTGTGCCCCTTTACAAATGGAACTATTGCTGAATTTTTCGTTTCCGTTCTCTAACTTAAGTTTGCCTCAACCAAATGTTTTGAAACTTATACACAATTAATGCTTATTACCACAAAACACAAATCAAGATTGAATTTTGGTGGCGTCACTTTTACCGTTCTAGAGTTAAATGCCTCTCTACAAATAGAAAAGTTGCTGAATTTTTTGTTTCCGTTCTCTTTCTTGAGTTTGCCTCAACCAAATTTTATGAAACTTATGCACTATGTTAATTACCACAAAACACAGATCAAGTTTGAATTTTGGTGGCGTCACTATTACCATTCTAGAGTTATTCCCCTTTACAAATGGAAATATTGCTGGATTTTTCGTTTCCGTTCTCTATCTTAAGTTTGCCTCAACTAAATGTTTTGAAACATATACCCAATTTTTATTACCACAAAACTCAGATCAGGTAAAAATTTGGGTAGCGTCACTTTTACAGTTCTTGAGTTATGTCCCTTTATAACATTATATGCAAGCGGGGGCATCATCTGTCCCATGGACACATTCCCCATTTATTTTTAACGTAATACTATTAAGCTCTAGAATCAGACAGTTCTTTGAATCATTGTAGGAAGCCCAGAACTTTTTTATGGGAATGCTGATCTAGTTCTTTTTCCAAGTGATGAAGATTTATTCCGAGATGTCATGGATGTTATGGAGAGTTCTTCTGCAATTATAACAATACCTGAATATTTCCTTGAGAAGAGGTATGAAGAAGATGATAAAAATGAACATGAACTTGCTAAAAAAGACGTTCCAGAAGTTATGCCCGATGAAGCAACAAAATTTGATCAGGTCTTAAAGCAGGCTATTTCAGTCTCGCTCTGTAAGCACAGAAAAATAAAAAACAAAAATCTAACCAAAAACAATATTTCTGCAGTTCCTGTATGTCTCATAACGAAAGAAACTTACTTTGTGGCAGTGTACGATGCTAGTTATGACTATTTAATGAGAACAAATAAAGCTTTGAAGCTTTTCGAAGGAAATAATCTTCGATTTGATGCAGTTTTGGATTTGTGGCTCTTAATTCACCATAACGTATTTTGTACAACACCACATCAGAAGCTTTTGAAGGAATTTAAAGGGACATGTGATTTGGTTCCACAGCTTGGAAGAGACAGATTTGAAAAAATTATTCAAAGTTCCAGATGGCTATATATGCCAGAATGTATGCATCCTGACAATTCTGATAATGTTTCAGCCCCTAAAGCTACAGATGTGTAAGTATTTCCATTGTATTACAGTGAGTTAATATATATTTTTGAGAAAAACAAGTTGCTTTCTTTAAAAAAAGTAAGCAGTATGGAACCTGAGACCACTAACTGGTCACCAAAAAAGAATGAATTTTTTGGCTTTTGATTTGAAATAATTGGCTGTGAATTAGAATAAGAACATGATGATGTTAAATTCCTTTATTGAAAATATGTAATTGTGTAGAATCCAACCTTAGCTCTCAACCACAGGCCCAACAGCTGTTGTACCTGTAAAAATCATCTCTACAGGCTATAGAATCTAACTAAAAACTTTCTTAAAATTGAACTTTTGGCCTTTTCAAAAGTTCATCTTGGAGACTGGAAATCTTGCACAAATCTATTAAAAGCATTGTTGGATTTTAGTTGTCTTACCAGATTTTCGTGAAACTTATATTATATGTCTTGGACGAGTTCGAAAATCAGTGCTGATTAATTATTTTTGTCCCCTGCGCAACGTGTTGCAGGGGACATAGAAACACCAAGTGTCCATCAGTCTGTCTACAGTCTTGTTAGTGCTATTGTGTATACAAATCTTACCAGATTTTTATAAAACTTGTATCAAGGTGTATATCAGCAATTTCTTGGACAAGTTGGAAAATCAGTGGCGATCATTTATTAAAGGCAGTGCCTTTAGTGTTATCAGGCAATAATCATTGTTTCTACGTAGGGGATAAATACGTCATCACAAATTACCCGAAAAGCATGAAAAGTGGAATTCATTCTTCTTCTATTTTTGATATTCTGTGTGTTTTTTTTGTAATTCAGGGACATTGGGAAGTAAGGAATCAAACGATGTTTTTTGTTAGTTTTCAAAACTTTTGATAGAGTTGTATTTTGCATAATGATCAGCCAACCGTTTCACAAACCGTAAGAACTTCAAAGTCTGTGTGAAAGAGTTCGGGTTTATTTCGAGTGATATTTTAATCTTAAGTTGTTTTTAAGATCATTTCAGTCGTAGATATAATAATGAAAAGTTGACCGAACTATGCCTAGTTGCAACATGTTAAAAATAACTCTGGAATCTGATCATTTTTCTTTTTCTCATCAGAACATTTGGTACGTCGAATTTCCAAAATCCGCCTAAACAATCTGTTTTTTTCTCGAAAACCAGAGCTGTTGAAAATCATATGACCGTCCAACATAGCTATCATGTCAAGTTAATTTTTTTGGTCTGTTTTTCTAATACTATATGCAATAGTTCAACTATATTTGGTGTATGGAAATATTTTATGATCTATATGTCAGTCACGCAGGTTTTATTTGACCGTGACCTCATTTTCAAGGTTCATTGCTCAGTGTTAAGTTTTTATGTTTTGGTCTCTCATGTCTGTTTTTCTTAAACTATAAGCAATAGGTCAACTATATTTGTTGTATGGAAGAATTGTTAGCTGTACATGCCTGCCTAGCATGGTTCATCTGACCTTGACCTCATTTTCATGGTTCATTGGTCAATGTTTAGTTTACTTGGTTAATGTTAAGTTTTGTTAAGTTTATTGTCGAGCCTGCGACTTTTGTTGCAGAAAGCTCGACATAGGGATAGTGATCCGGTGGCGGCGGCGGCGGCGGCGTTAGCTAACTTCTTAAAAGCTTTATATTTTAGAAGGTGGAAGGTCTGGATGCTTCATACTTTGTATATGGATGCCTCATGTTACGAAGTTTCCGTCAGTCACATGTCCAATGTCCTTGACCTCATTTTCATGGTTCAGTGACTACTTGAAAAAAAAGTTAAGATTTTTTGTAATGTTAGATTCTCTCTAATTATAAGTAATAGGATAACTATATTTGGTATGTGCGTACCTGGCAAGGTCCTCATGCCCGTCAGACAGTTTTCACTTGACCTCGACCTCATTTCATGGATCAGTGAACAAGGTTAAGTTTTGGTGGTCAAGTCCATATCTCAGATACTATAAGCAATAGGTCTAGTATATTCGGTGTATGGAAGGACTGTAAGGTGTACATGTCCAACTGGCAGGTGTCATCTGACCTTGACCTCATTTTCATGGTTCAGTGGTTATAGTTAAGTTTTTGTGTTTTGGTCTGTTTTTCTTATACTGTATGCCATAGGTCTACTATATTTGGTGTATGGAATGATTGTAAGGTGTACATGTCTAGCGGGCAGGTGTCATCTGACCTTGACCTCATTTTCATGGTTCAGTGGTCAAAGTTAAGTTTTTGAGTTTTGGTCTTTTTTTCTAATACTATGTGCAATAGTTCAACTATATTTGGTATGTGCCTACCTTGCAAGGTCCTCATGCCCGTCAGACAGTTTTCACTTGACCTCGACCTCATTTCATGGATCAGTGAACAAGGTTAAGTTTTGGTGGTCAAGTCCATATCTCAGATACTATAAGCAATAGGTCTAGTATATTAGGTGTATGGAAGGACTTTAAGGTGTACATGTCCAACTGGCAGGTGTCATCTGACCTTGACCTCATTTTCATGGTTCAGTGGTTATAGTTAAGTTTTTGTGTTTTGGTCTGTTTTTCTTATACTGTATGCCATAGGTCTACTATATTTGGTGTATGGAATGATTGTAAGGTGTACATGTCTAGCGGGCAGGTGTCATTTGACCTTGACCTCATTTTCATGGTTCAGTGGTCAAAGTTAAGTTTTTGAGTTTTGGTCTTTTTTTCTAATACTATGTGCAATAGTTCAACTATATTTGGTATGTGCCTACCTTGCAAGGTCCTCATGCCCGTCAGACAGTTTTCACTTGACCTCGACCTCATTTCATGGATCAATGAACAAGGTTAAGTTTTGGTGGTCAAGTCCATATCTCAGATACTATAAGCAATAGGTCTAGTATATTTGGTGTATGGAAGGACTGTAAGGTGTACATGTCCAACTGGCAGGTGTCATCTGACCTTGACCTCATTTTCATGGTTCAGTGGTTATAGTTAAGTTTTTGTGTTTTGGTCTGTTTTTCTTATACTATATGCCATAGGTCAACTATATTTGGTGTATGGAAATATTTTATGATCTATTTGGCAGTCACGCAGGTTTTATTTGACCTTGACCTCATTTTCAAGGTTCATTGCTCAGTGTTAAGTTTTTGTGTTTTGGTCTGTTTTTCTTAAACTATAAGCAATAGGTCAACTCTATTTGTTGTATGGAAGAATTGTTAGCTGTACATGCCTGCCAAGCATGGTTCATTTGACCTTGACCTCATTTTCATGGTTCATAAAGCTTTATATTTAGGACTATCAACATAATATCAATGATTAGTAAAGAAGGCGAGACATTTCAGCGTGTGCACTCTTGTGTGACAGTTGTCAATGGTTGTAATAAAGCTTTATATTTAGGACTATCAACATAATATCAATGATTAGCAGAGATGCAACTAATCGTCGGACCTGTCGGCCCGAGGGGGCAGAAATTGAGCAGGTCCGGCAAATTGGGCTTTTGTGCAAGACCTAATGACCGGCAGGCAGTTCTCTAGGATTTTAGTAAGATTTAGCATTTTTGGTGCTAAGGGGACGACCATTTGATATTCTGGGGGGGGGGGGGGGCCAGGAGGATTTGTTTTGGATCGGTTATTTATTTTTGTAAACTAAGAGGACAGATTATTTATTGTCGCGGAAAGCTCAACATAGGGATAGTGATCTGGCAGCGGCGGCGTTGTCATGCCTGCAACTTTTGTCGCAGAAAGCTCGACATAGGGATAGTGTTCCGGCGGTGGGGATGGCTTCTTAAAAGCTTTATATTTTAGAAGCTAGAAGACCTGGATGCTTCATACTTTGTATATAGATGCCTTATGTTACGAAGTTTCCGTCTGTCATATGTCCATTGTCCTTTACCTCATTTTCATGGTTCAGTGACTACTTGAAAAAAAAGTCAACATATTTTGTAATGTTAATTTCTTTCTTATTATGAGTGATAGGATAACTATATTTAGTTTGTGCGTACCTTGCAAGGTCCTCATGCCCGTCAGACAATTTTCATTTGACCTCGACCTCATTTCATGGATCAGTGAACAAGGTTAAGTTTTCGTGGTCAAGTCCATATATCAGATACTATAAGCAGTAGGTCTACTATATTTGGTATATGGAATGATTGTAAGGTGTACATGTTCAACTGGTAGGTGTCATCTGACCTTGACCTCATTTTCATGGTTCAGTGCACGTGGTCAAAGGTAAGTTTTTGAGTTTTGGTTTTTTTTTCTAATACTATATGCAAAAGGTCAACTATAAACATGTGATAAATGGTGTATGGAAATATTTTATGATGTACATGTCAGTCTCACAGGTTTTATATGACCTTGACCTCATTTTCACGGTTTATTTCTCAGTGTTAAGTTTTTGTGTTTTGGTCTGTTTTTCTTCAACTATAAGCAATAGACCAACTATATTTGATGTATGAAAGGATTTTAAGGTGTATATATATATGTCTGTCTGGCAGGTATCATCTGACCTTGACCTCATTTTCATGGTTCATTGGACAATGTTAAGTTTTCATGGTTAAGTTTGTTTCTTAGATACTATAAGCAATAGGTCATCTATATTTAATGCCTAAATTGATTGTAAGGTGTACATGTCTGTCTGGCATGGTTCATCTGACCTTGACCTCATTTTCATGGTTCATTGGTCAATGTTAAGTTTTCTTGTTTAAGACTGTTTCTTAGAAACAATAACCAATAGGTCAACTATGTATGGTTTATAGAATGATTGTAAGGTGTACATGTATTTCTCATTTGGTTTATCTGTCCTTGACCTCATTTTCTTGGATCATGTTAAGTTTATGTGTTACTTGTAGTAAAGCTTTGTATTTAGGACTATCAACATAAAATCAATGGTTAGTAAAGAAGACATTTCAGCATGTGCACTCTTGTTAATGAAGTTGAAGTCCAATCAACTTGAAACTTAATCAGTCAGAGATATAACTCTATAGGGTTATTACAGAAAATAACTTGCGTGTGTTATTACAGATACTTTCATGAGTTGTCTACTCTTTATTCCTTAAATTTTCTA